GGTGAGAAAATACAGAGAAACCTTTTTCCTACCAGCAGCTAAGCCTCCACTGTCACGTTATCTTTCCTCAGTGGACAGCTGAGCTCTGCTCATTTCATAAAGCATTTGCAATATCCTGTCACTAACATTCAGATTTTTAATTCCTATGAAGAACGCAATAGGCAGCTGGTACAATAGTTATTGTTTGGGGCTTTTTAACATTATCAGTGGACTTGTATATACTGTAAGGAGGTATTTAGGCTGAAAGAGATTACACTGTATCACACTAAGAAAAACCAAACAAGATGCATTACATCTGTATCTCCCAGAAATACAGACATAACCTCCCCCTTTCCATACCAGAGGCACAAAAGCAGCAGAAAATAAATAAATAAATAAATCAACTACAGCTGTCCAATACACAGTAACAGCGAGAAAAGGGCAAACCACAATGTTCATTTCCAGCTTCCTCAGGCTCTGAGTGGGCACTCCGTATGACACCAACACTCTCCTCCAAGAGCAGTCTAAAGAGCACACCATATAAATTTGAAAGAGATTACCTGTTTCTCTTCATGTCTGCTACTGCAATAACTCTTTGAGAAGGGGTTTAACTTTAATTTATTGAGTTCTAACTGGCAATCTTGAGGAAGAAGTGTTGCTCTCTAAGCCATTTATTGTTTGTCCTTATAAATTAATGAAAATCAGCCACCATCACTTTACCTTAAAGACACAATTCAGACTTCTACCAGATTGCCTCCCTAAACCGATCACATCTCCACCTCAGGCTCTGTCTGCCCTCTGCCAATCATTCCCTTGTTACAGCTTGTACTTTTGAGGCACTGTGCCCATTACTTAACATGGTGGGCATTCCTAACAGTTTGGAAGTATACAAACTTCTTTAGTTTGTATAATGAGAATATTTTCAGGAGATGACTGCCTGAATCATCCTTACTTTAGCCCAAGGCTTTTTTTGGAGTACAGTACATAATGCTTGAAGGAAGGAAACAAAAGATCAGGCTTTACCACCAGGTGCCTATTGAGTGTAATTTCAATGCAACTCACCATCACACTTTCTGTAGAAGTGAATGAATAAATACAAGCCAAACAGAAAATACTGTGAACACACTATTTACCAACCCTACAGTATTTGCAGCCATTTTTTAAGTGTTTGGTAAACACCAATTCTTCAGAAGCTGTAAAAGACTAAGGGTGGGAAAACACTTAGAGGCTCTGAGGAAGAAACAAAGCCACAGTAGTGAGTTTGGAGATCTAAAGATAACTGATAACAAAACCCTTGGAGGTACACAATAATAGAATGGCTTAGATTGGAAGGGACCTTAAAGATCACCCAGTTCCAACCTCTGGCCATGGGCAGGGCTGCCCCCCACCAGAACAGCTGCCCAGGGTCCCATGCAGCCTGGTCTGGAGCACCTCCAGTGATGGGACATCACAGCTCACTGGGCACCTGTGCCAGTGCCTCAGTCCGAGTAAAGAACTTCCTCCTAACATCTAACCTAAATCTCCCCTCAGTTAGTTTAAAGCCATTCCCCCCAGTCCCATCACTATCAGACCATATAAAAAGTCCATCTCCCCTCCCTGTTTATAACCTCCCTTCAAGTACAGGAAGGCCACAGAGAGGTCTCCCCAGAGCTTTCTCTTCTCCAAGCTAAACAAGTCCAGCTCCCCTAGCCACCAGGCTTACATCAATTGCCAGTGAAAAATGCAAGTACTCTAAAAAGTGAGAAGGAAAATCAGAGAACCATACTGGCTCTCATAATGGATTCCAGGAAGCAAAAGTCTATCTAGAAAATTGGAGAGAATGTAAAGAGGGTGCTTTCACTGGTAGAAATGCAATACATTGGTGGAATGTAACTTGACTAGAAGAAAGTGAGTTGGAGCCATAAAACAACTTGAGGAAGCAGATGGTTCTGAAAACACCGCAAAGACATTGTTCTTCAAAACATCTACTCACAATGACTTGAGCAATGTCTGCCCATTACTTACTTCAGCAAGTACAACTGCATGTCTCATCAATGATGTATACAGGCAAATATCAGTTACAAGCATTATCTCATTCAAAAAACAAAAAAAAAGATAGGTAAAAGCAAGTAATGAAGGCAGTCCATTATCCAAACAAGGCATTTCTAAAATAAAAGTTCAAAACGATTTGCTAAGTTCAAAAGGACTCTTGGTTTCCCCAGAATAGCCATGCTTTGCTGAAACTTCCTCTGGGATTTCAGCACAGGTGAATCAGTGGAAACCGACAAGAGCCAAAATCCAAGGGCATCCAAAAAGGAGACGCAATGGGCTTCTCCTTCACACTATCAGTTCCACATTTGAAGAGAATACTCTTGTACAGAAAGTAACATAAGAAGACTTGACCATAAACTCAGTGAAAATTAAATGAAAGAAGAAGAACCATATTAATGGTAATATTAAAAACACTTGAGCACAAAGCAAAAGCTGCAAAATTTAAAAAGCCTGCAAGTGGTGGGGATGGTGGTTTGTTAGTTTGTTTAAGAAGAGGAATCCCCAGCCAGCAGCACTTCCCTCAGTCTCAAGAGGATTCTCTTTCAATTAATTAATGATGAATTGGACTCTCACAGGGACAAACTCAAAACAAAAAGTTAGAAATCCTCTGTGTTACATAACCCATCTGACTGATCCCAAATCAAAACACAGCCTGAGCTGCCTGACTGGAGGAAAAGGCTCACAGAATGTAGTTCCCCTTGGCTTCCCTTCGCATTTTAAATCAAAGCACTCTGCATCTAACCTCATTTTTTGCTCATGTAGGAAGCTACATCACAGGCTACTACAAAATGGTAAACCGTGTCAATAAAAAAATACACAGGCTGAATTGAGAACTACCACACTTTAGAAGACTCAGTATGACTAACATGCCCAGGATTTGGCAAGTTCTCGATGTTGCTTTTTTCTGACTACAAAAACGATGTCACAAAGAGGTGTTAAAAATAGTTAGATCTGCACAAGTTTCCTGAAATCCAAGCAGGTTCCAGACAATGAAAGGTTCCAAGTCAGCCCAGGCTCACTGGCAACACACTGCATACAGAAAAGTACCTGCAAGAGCTCTGTGTCAACGGTATTATGCATGAATCTGTAGAGTAGATAAGTAATTATTTAGGCAACAAACCCATGCTCATGCGCTTCTCAAAATATCCCCACATTACAGCAAAACCTTTCTACAAAGGAATTAGATCTCTCTGCAGATAAAATCTAAAAATATGAATTAAGTACAAACAATGCCACCCTTGCCTACACAGGCTGAGAGGTCTGCAGAACCTCGAACAGCAACATCACCATAGGTGTAAATTATTACAATTATCACAACAATCATGTCAGCTGTTCTGTTTCCCATGACAAGTGAGACACCAAAGATTTCAAAAATGCACAATCTACTGAACCAATTTTTCATTTTAATACACAACAAGTGGATGCCAATAGAGGAGCAATTGCTGTTTGCTTTCCAATTTGGTCAAGAGAGCCAAAGGTACTGGGCTGGGCCCAGGAAAACACAAAATCACATACCAAAACCATGGAGATCACGCAACTAAAAACCAATCACCTGTTCAAGTACCAGTCTGATCGGCAGATCTCACACAAACCAGTTTTATACACCTCTGCTGAACTAGAGTCTTTCCACAGCAGCATGTTTTCAAAACCTCAGTTCCTTGCAAGCACATTACTAAACACAAGACTTAAAGCAAAACATGAAGTTTACCGTGCCCAACCCTTAGTTCTGCATCTCCAGATTCACAGCTTCAGAAAGCTAATTCCAACACTATCCATCCTCTTTGCACAAATAGGATGTTTCATAGGAAAGCCACACATCCTGCCAGTATGACCAGGGTACCAAAAGCCATCCAAGTTGGATGTGCATTCAGCATTTTTCTATCTTCTTCTTTTAATTAATTTCTTTTAAATGCCCATGCAATCCTTAGCTCTACACCTAATCAGTCAAGAGATGCAGACAGTTCCATATCTGGGACTAGGGACAGTTCACATACACTAAAAGTTTAAAAATTAAGCTGCTCTGAAAAGCCTGTGGTTAATGCAAAGTGTACTTTCTGGTCCCAACCTAGTGATAAGTGAATGTTTGTTCATAGCATAACACTGCCAGATTTTAGCACAACTCATTATTAATTGAACTCTCAGCATAAGGCCATCACTCAGAAGAGAACAAAACTTTGCAGCTCAGTCAGGGAGGCAGTAACAAGGCAGCTATGGTCGCAAAGGGCAAGTAGTAACAGGGAAAGCACTGACACCAGACTGAAAGAAACGAAAGGAGATGAAAGGAAGAATAGGAAACACTCGTGCAACTTCTTAGCACTAACTTAGCAGCTATACCATGGTTTTAAAGATTTCTTTTTTTTCTTTAATTCCTAATGCCTTTTTCCTGTCTACTATTAAAAAGAACCAACTGTCAGAAGAAAGGAAATAAAGCAACTCTTCCGAAGCAGACACATGGTGGTTTGCTTGCCCCTCTGTCACAGTCACAAGGCCTTCTTGCTCTACTACTACAAAAGAATGTTTTCATCTTAATAGAAATAAGAGAAAATTACAGAGACAGGTAAGAAAAATAGATTGTTCTACACAAACATGTGAAGTTGAACAGCAATTATAAGAACCTTTATGATACCTTAGTCTAATTTAATCAATGCAACTAGGACCCAATGTGAGTATAACTATTCCTGAACAAGTTTGTTCTTTGGTTACCAAAGGCTACTTTCAGATTTCCAACAGCAAGTTCAGAAAACGTACTCAGAAAAGCAGCACTAGGGTATGACTGAGATCACACAGGTGAGAACTCATCCAAAACTCTGCTTTGTGTTAACATCCCACATAAACTCTCGTCTCAGCCTGCAGTCAGAGCTGCCCTCACAGCCATCCAACACCGCCTTCTGCTCACACCTTCAGCACCCGGTGGCTCTCCTCACCCCCAGCGCCTCATATCCCAGCCACCACGTGTCCTCAGCACACCCGAGGATGCCAGGCGATCTCACCTTTCATTTTGACAGTGGGAGAATTGGGTCCGGCCGATTGCTTCCGCCATCCTCTCCAGTTCTGGCAAAGGCTCTCTGCCTCTGAGATGAAGGAACAAAGGGAGTCCTCCTCAAAGTGATCGGAGTCCTCGAAGGAGAACCTCTCCCCGTCCTCCCACTCCGCAAACATGAGTTCCATCACATCCAACAGGCGACACGGGGAAAAAAGAAGAAAGAAGGAAGCACAACTGCTCGCTTTAACAGGTGGATGGACCGCAGGGTTCCTGGAGTACTTAAAATGTCAGTTCCGTTCAGGTCCCCGTGTTACGGTACCAGGAAGAACAGAGCAAACGCTACCTTGAAGCGGGAGAAGCAGGAAACCAACGCAAACTACAGGGTGGCTTATAAAAATCCCAGAAAACGAGTTCTTAAAAAAAGTTTTAAAAATGTTTATGTCCACAAAGTGTGTCCGACCCCGAGGGGCGGCCGCTACGCGGACAGGCGCTTCCAGCCCGGGCAGGTGCGCGTCTGTCACAGCCCGGCGCTCCCGACGCCAGCAGCCCCCCGTTCGGACCCGCAGCCGCCAAGCACCGGCCGGGGCTCCCTGCGCTGGTGCTTGTCTCACTCTCAGGGAAAAGCCCCGCCGGGACCGGGCCTCCCCCCGCCCGCGGCACCACAGGAACGCCCCCGGGGGGCGGTGAGCCCGAGCGCCGACGGAAGGAGGGGGCTCGGCGG